CCATCAGTAAGCTGAACTTCACATGAGCCACTCCAGTTCCTAATGGTAGTCAAAGCCAAACTGCCTCAGTAGGAGGAAAAATACAGACTCTCCTGCTAAAAATGCCTCTATATTGCTGAGTGGAACCTGAAAGAGGGATCCTGTCTGACTGTGTTTTATTTTCCAATTAGGATAGTGGTTCCTAAACCTCTCTACACAATTTGCAATCACTAGAGAACTTCAAAAAGTAGTAAGGCTTTTTTTCCCCCTCCCTTGTTGGTTGTGATTTACTTGGTCTAGGATATGGCCTTGGCTTGGAAATTGTGTTATGGACCTTTTAAAATTTCTAAAGGTCCCCAGATGATTCCACATGTGCAGACACATTTGGGAACCACTGGATTGGGGAAAGAGGAGACATTTGTCACTATCTGCTTAGCTCTCAATTTTTAAATTTAGAAATTGGTGTTTTCTAATTTGGGGTAATGTCTAGAGCAATGATTCTTAAATTTGCTGCACGGTAGAATCATTTGTAGAGTTCTAAAAAAATCCTCATATCCAGGTCAATCACACTCTATACCAATTAAGTCAGTCTCTGGGAGAGGGACTAAGCAGCAGATTTTTTTTTTTTTTCCTGGTGATTGAATCCAGGGGTACTTAACCACTGAGCCATAAACCCAGCCCTTTTTTATATTTTATTTACAGACAGGGTTTCACTGAGTTGCTTAGGACCTCCCTAAATTGCTGAGGCCGGCTTTTAACTCTCAACTGCCTCAGCCTCCCAAGCAACTGAGATTATAGGTGAGCATCACCTAGAGGCAGCAGAATTTTTTTTTTTTTAGTTGTAGTTGGATAAATATCTTTATTTTATTTATTTTTATGTGGTGCTGAGGATCGAACCCAGGGCCTCACATGTGCTAGGTGAGCACTGTACCACCGAGCCACAATCCCAACCCAAGACAGCAGAATTTTTAACATCTCCAGAAGGTCCCATTATGCAGTCAAGTTTGTAAATTTGTATCTATTGTATCTACTTTGGTTCCCAAAGTAGCATCTGCATTACCTGTGCACTTGTTATAATGCAAATTCTTAGATCTCACCTTAGAGCTGGTGAATTGGAAGCTATGAAGGTGGCTCAGAAATCTGTTTCAACAAGTCCTCCAGGTGACTTGGACATGCACCAAAGTTGAGAGCCATTGATCTTCACTTGTCCTTGAATCCCAGTGAACCTGCTCTGTATCCACAGAGGTGAAAACTCTCAGTCAGTATTCCATACTCTAAGCCTATGGACTATCTTACTGTGATATATAAAAATATTAAAAATTTTTAAAAATTACATTTAGCCTCAACCTCTTAATGCTAATATGTGGTTACTTTTTATTTAGGTCATTAAAAACCATTTTTTAATTCTTAATATGTTGCTCCAAATTTTATATAATTAAGGTTTTTTATTAGCAGTAAAACATTTTTGTCTAATTTTCTTTACATAAAAATCACTCAGTGCCCAGTACTATTGTTGAGAATTAAATTTGTACACTGATGAAATTAAGCCAGATAATGAATATTTTATGTAGGTATCAGCTAATGTATCATACATAATATATATATTTTGATACTGGGGATTGAATCCAGGGGTGCTTTACCACTGAGCTATATCCCCAGACCTTTTTATTTTTTGAGACAGAATCTCACTAAATTGCTTAGGGCCTTGCTAAATTGCTGAGGCTGTCCTTATCTCAGGCTCCTGAGTCGCTGGGATTATAGGAGTGCACTGCCATGTCCAGTAGTACCAGCTAATTTTAATAATTGTTCTAAATCTCACTGATTCATCATAGAATGATTTGGGGTATTTCCTATGTGCCAAGACTTTATAGCTTCTGGAGTTGATAGTAAGGTAGAAAAATTCATCAGTTGTCCTTAAATACCTTTTGGCTTATTGAGGATACAGAAAGTTTTAAATAGAGTATTTACTATAATAAATATAATACAAAGGACTATATGAGAAATGAAGAAAACTCTGCTTGAGGAAGGCAGGAAAGGCTTCAGAGAAGGCAGAATTTAGGAGTTTCTCAGACAAAGCTTGAAGAACATTCTAGACACTAGGCAGAGTAAACATGTCACAAACACATTCAAAGGGATTTCAACTTGTATCTTCATAACTGTGACTATGCAGAGATGCAGAGCAGTTCTTACCTAAAGTCAAATGTGAAGTCTATGTAGTCCTCAAACGACAAAGAGAAAGAAGAACAAATTTTTTATGGCTTGACCACCTTATGAGGTGCCAAGCTAGGTACTAGTGAATGGGAACAACTGAAATCATAATTAAGGCTGCTAATAGTCCCTGCTTTACCCCAGTTCTGAATCTTTATATATGTGTGTGTATATATATAATTTTAGTTGTAGTTGGACACAATACCTTTAATTTATTTATTTACTGTTAAGTGGAACTGAGGATGGAATGTAACATCTCCCATGTGCTCGGCAAGCAATGTACCACTGAGCCACAACCCCAGCCCCCAGTTTGCTTACTGTGACTCATAGAGACCAACCATTTTCATCAGTCCAAAGAATGGTTAACTATGTAGGTGTCCATTACTCCTCTTCTTGGGACAGTTTGATTCCCAGAGATTAAACTGCTAGGTATCCAGATTAAATACTGTGGCAGTAGATCAGGCAAATGTTCATTGAGAAAATAGATATTTAGAAAGGAATTAAAAGTATTATTCTACCAGTCAGGCTTCCTCCACCTCTGGGTAAGACCCATAGGAATTTCTTCAAAGATGCACATTTGAATATGGAACACAGGGAAACCTATAGAACTATCTCTTTAATAGCTAGCTGCTTACTGATTTTTTTTTTCCCTCTATCAGGTATGAAGATGATAAAAAAGAATGGGCCGGGATGTTGAAGGAAATACGTTATGCTTCAGGAGCTAGTTGCCTAGCAACACGTCTAAATCTCTTCAAACTGTCTAAACTATAAACAAGGTGACAAAACAGAATAGATTGAGACGTGGTTTGTTTGGATAATAGTGCTTTAATTTATTCTGTTTTTTTAAAGCCTGTACAGAGATTCATGTAGAAATTATTAAATAAGTTATTGTCTAAGAGGTAAAAAGAATATCAAAATCTTGGTCATTGACTCTTTAATGTCATAATAAGAGCTTTAAATCATTTTCTAATAAGAAATTAAATATTAAGTTGAAAAAAATGTGTTAATTTGTCTCATTCAATGAATTGTAAAGCAGGCTCCTAAATTTGAGTAGTTTCCTAATCCTTTGTATTGATAGGGACCTTTACACTTCTTTTCTATTACAAATTAAATACATACATCCCCAATCTTAAAATGTTTTAAAATATTTTAAAAATTCCTTATATAAGCTTCAAGCTATGACAGGAATCCTATACATTATATTAAAGATTACAAGTCATAAAATAATTTGGAAGTTATATTTAAGGAATGTAATGAATGAGTCTCATTTGAAGGGAAAAAGTCTCTTAAGTAAAAGTAGTCAAATCCAAATGCCTTTTTTTCTCCATTCTTTTTGCGACACTGGTATATTATTTGTAATCTCCAAATCAAATTTTAAAAACCTTTTAACTTAAAACCAGTAAATCATTGTCTTCATACCATTAACAACCATCTACAAAAAGAGGGTGAGTGCCAGCAGGAAACAGACTGATTGTTTAAACTTCTGAGGCAGAGAGAGTGTGGAAGAGGGTATATAGTCATTGGTTTAAATTTTAACTATATTTCAGATAAAAGGGCTATTTGCTAAATTTCTAATAGTAGGAAAGATGACTGAATGGTTCCATTTTCTGGGCTATGCAACCCTACACTATTTCTTCTTAGAGTATATCATAAATTGCCTTCTCAGTATGTCAAATTCAACTGTGCAAGTCATCAACTAACCATCATTTTTATCCTAGACACACATCTTGTTGACATGTATTTGACTGCTATCTTACACAATATTTTCTGAGATTTGAGACCAATGTGGAGCATCCCATGATCATCAAGCAGCTACATAAAGAACAAACAGGTGTCCATACAGCTTTATTTTCTCTATCATAAACATAAAAATGTATTTAACAAAAACATTTTAGATCTCTGAAGTAAAAGCCTGGTTACTTTTCTGTACTGAAAAATATTGACTTGAATATATACCATGAGTATATAACAAATCCCAAAGGTAGGAGACCCTACAGGTTCTTCAACAATACATTTTAGGAAAAGAAAGGGGTGGAGAGAATGTTTATAAAGACAGATATTAAAGAGAAGGGGTAGGGGAAAATTTGGTATCCAGAAAGGCATACCTGGGAGACAGATAAAACTATAAGACAGACTTACCATAAAATCAGAACACAAGTAACTTTCAGGCAGAGAATACTATCCATGTACACATGAAATTAAGTTGTAAAAAACAATACTTTTTACAGGGCTTCTTTAGGGGAGGATGAAAATGCTCTGGAATTAGATAGTGGTGGTGATTACACAATATACTAAAAATGACTACATTATATACTTGAAAAGGGTGGAAGCCAGGTGCGGTGGCACAGGCCTATAATCCCAGCAGCTTGGAAGGCTGAGACAGGAGGATTGAGAGTTCAAAGCCAGCCTTAGCAAGGGCAAGGCATTAATCAACTCAGTGAAACTCTTGTCTTTAAATAAAATACAAAATAGGGCTGGGGATATGGCTCAGTGGTTGAGTGCCCTAAGTTCAATCCTCAATACCCCCACCAAAAAAAGCGTGGATTTTATGGTATATAAATTATATCTCAATGAAAAAAAGACTTGTTTTACACACACACACACACACACACACACACACACACACACACAGAAAACCATTTCAATCAAGCAGCCTAGTAAAAAAACAGTAAAAGATGTGGTACATAAGAAGTTAGATTGTGTGTAACAAGAAGCAAAAGACACACCAGAATCATTTAAGCAAGATTTCCATGTACCTCAAATATACAACATTGGATTTTCAATTACTTATATCAAAGGCAAATTTACAGCTCTCATCAGTCTAATCATTTTATTTGAAAAGCTACAGAATAAAAATATTTTAATTTATTCAGGGTTTGGTTCTTGTCCTTTGCTTGAGAAATAGAACTCACTCATGTAAATGGAAAATTAAACACTTAGAATTTAGTATGTCTGTAACTATAAATGAATATCATTAGGAAATTTACGAGGAAGAATGGTGGATTAGTCAATCTGTTGTTGCTCTGACCAAAATACCTGACAAGAACAACTTTATAATAAAACAAAAAGTTTATTTTGGCTCATGGTTTCAGAGTTTCAGTTCATGGTTGGCCAATTCCATTGCTCTGGGCCCATGGTAAACTAGAACATCATGGTGGAAGAATGTGACACAGGAATGTTGCTCACCTCATGGCAGCCAGGAAGCAGAGAGAAGGAGCCATCAGGAACAAAATATAAACTCTAAAGGCATGCCTGGGGTAACCTACTTCCTTATGGCATGCCCCACCTGCCTATAGTTACCCCCTGGTTAGTTTGTTCAAATTATTAATCCATCACATGGATCGATCCACTGATTAAGTTATAGTTCTCATAATCTGATCATTTTACCTCTGAACATCCCTGCATTAACATATGAGTTTTGGGGGGATACCTCATATCTAAACCATAACAAATGGTTACAAGGAGTTATCTTTTACTTGCTTACTATTCTGATTGGTTTTCAAAAAACTTTATGAAGTTCACTTCTGCAAAATCATTATATATTGGGACTCAAGTTGTGCAAAGTCAGGGAATATTTTATACATGTATTTCAACTAAGCCCAAGCCAAATATCAATGAAGCAAATTACATGCAGAAAATACATTTGTAACAGAAGGCACTTTGGCTACCAACTACAGAAGAGAATGAATTTAGAGGGTCCAGGAGTCAGAAGATAGCCAAGTTTAGGATGGTCAGTCCCATCACTCATCTCAAACATTCCACATGGCCTAAAGGAAGTGCTAGGAATTATATAATATAGTAGATCCTTCATAACTACTTTATTGTAAATGTGTTAAAATACAGAGAAAAAAAAATCACTATAACCTTAGCATGTGAAAGATCAGACCAGGCCAAGATTGGACCACTGAAACTACCAAACTATTTCTTTGTTTCCATTTAGAAGAAAATGTCTCCTCCTACTTTCTCTTGGAAAACAGGCTTTCACACACAACTTAACAAAAATCATTTTTCAAAGTTAGTGATTTTTATGTTGCCATTTTGTATGTATGGGGGTGAAGACAATGCAAACCCAGGACCTTTCTTAGGCTTAGACTCATGTTGTTAGATTTAAGGGGCATTTCACAGTGCTCCATTTACCTAATCTATTAGAGTATTTGATATAATGTCTCACTTCTTCCTCCTTTAAATGCTTCATCTTTGGCTTCCAGGAAGCATTAATACCTTCTCTGACTTTTCTTCTTACCTCACTGGCCACCCCTGCTCAGCCTCCTTTGCTGTTTCTTCTTAAGCTCTTAATGCAGGACCATCTGGAGCTTAGTCCTCAAGTATCTCCTCACACATTTCTCTACTCTCTAGTCTTGCGGTATTAAATACCAATAACAATTTTCAAATTTGTATCTGGAGCCTGGAACTCTCTCTCCTTACTTCCTAACTCATTTACTGAATTGTTTGATATCTCCACTTAGATGTTAAAAAGCATTATAAACTCAACATGTCTAAAATAAACTCATGATCCTTCACCAATGCCTACTTCCCATCTTGCTCATCCTATAGACTTCCCCATAATGGCAATACTTTTTTGGTTGCTCAGGACAAAAAGTTAGTATTATCATTGAATTTTGTTTCTCTCTTCCCTCATATCCATCAGTGAGCAAATTCTGTTGCCTTTACTTTCAAAATACATTGTGAAAACCACTTTTCATTACACTCACTGCTACTACTCTATCCAAGCCAGCATCCATTTCTTGCTTGGAGTATTGAAATGTTCTTTAAATAGTCACAATCCACTTCTTGCCTGCTGATACATTTGTTCCTTAGTAATTTTTTCTCATCTCAACAGAGCAACTAGTGTGATGCAGTTAAAATGTGAGTTTTCATCATTCCTCATTTGAAACCCTCCAATGGCTTCTCATCTCACTAAGAGAGGCTATGAGGTTGGAATATTGACTGTTACTGCTTACTTTCCTTTTATCATACTCCCACCCCACTTCCCACTTGTTCTGCCACCTCAGCATATTTGCACCTACTATTTTTTTAATGAGTCAGTCCACTTAATTAAAATACATACATATGTGACACACCATAAGAACTCATTTTAAATAAAAATTACAATCATGATTTGCCTGCTCCAAATATATGTTCTCTCAAGTAGTCCAACCGAGCATCTTTTTGTGACAGTGCCATAGAGTTCCATTCAAAATGAGGGATCTGTAAAATAAGTAATGTAGTTTGAATGGAAGTTTTAAAGCAGCTACAAAAAACAGCAGGGAAAACTTATAAGCACTACTGAACAAAAATGTACGAACTCTATGTAATTAGATTACAAAAGCATAGCCTTTGAACCCTTTTTGGAAACAAAGTGGTTATGTCTTCTTCTTAGACACTGCCTAGAAGATTTTTCTCTACCTCACAGCTCCTTTCATCTCCCTGTTCCTGCAACACTGACAATGGACATTTTTTTCCTATATTCCTTCTCTGTCTGTATATTAGCCTTTTCCTTCTGTAACTCTGTCCATCTCCATAGTGCCTAATACACAAATCAATAGATCTTCTAAAGACAATAAAAAGAATGATGATTTTTATTTTTTTAAATATTTTTTTAATTGAAATAGACACAATATCTTTATTTTTATTTATTTATATGGTGCTGAGGATTGAACCCAGGTCCTCACGCATGCAATGCAAGCGCTCTACCAATCAGCTACAACCCTAGCCCCTGATTTTTCATTTCTTAGTCTACTAAAGAAATAATGTTGTTGCAGGGATACTTTAATGTAACTTTTTTAATAAAAAAAGATAATTCTAGAACTTTCGTGTTAAAAGAAAACACGTGTATAGTCAGTGTTTCAAAGGCTGATCATTTCATATGAGCATTTCTTACCTGAATGACATGATATCCCAAAATTTCCAAATGTCGTTTTTTCATAGCAGATTTTCCTTTTATGTGAGGGACATTTCTACAAAAAGCTTTTGAATCCAAAAATTCGAAAGCAATCCTATATAAAATAAAAATAAATACTTACTTTGAAAATTTAAATGAGAAATTCAATAGTTACAAGACTTTTAGGAACAAGAATGCATCTTTATAAAGTAACAAGAGCCAAGTGAATATAAATGAGTATACCAAGTTATTTTTCTCCCAAAGAAATTAGTAACTGATAACAAACTTATTCATTAAATCAAATTATAGTAAATCACCTTCCAGCTTTCATCCATTTGTTTCTTTGTCTAATTATACTATTACATGCCTACTTTATATACATAAGAAACTTATACATAAAGTAGCACAGCTTATAGTTTAACAAAGAACATATGCTATATAGTAACTAATGCAGTGTAGGAGGGGCTAAGTGTTATCAGAAAAGTAGAGCAAAATGGTAATACAAAAGAAGAAAATACTATTTATATCCAGTTGAGGTCAACTAGGTCAGCACGTCCAAGAAATTCCCAGGCTAGGGACAGACAAAGGCAGACCATTAGAGCAGAAGCCACAGGACAAGGAAGGTAAAATGTATGAGATATATGAAGAGCAGATGCAACTACCAATCAGTTCTTGATAACTGAGGCCATGATATATCAATGCCAAATTTATCATTTAGGTGAAATCTAAAACTCGAAACTAAATTACCTTTCAGCTCCTGGTGGAAGACTTGATCCAACTATTCGGGTATTTGATTCCCAGTACATTCCTGGTGGTTTTCCCAAAGTTATATTATGGCTTCCATAAGGAAGAGGTTTTTTTCTTTTATCCAAGATACACTCAAAATCTTATGGAAATACAGGAATCAACAGTATAAGGTAAGTAAATTCTTACAGGTAAAAATTTAAAACAGGGGCTGGGGTTGTGGCTCAGTGATAGAGTACTTGCCTCACATGTGTGAGGCACTGGGTTTGATCCTCAGCACATAACCGACGTGATTCTGCAATCTGCATTTGGGGTAAAATTGGGAGTTCATAACCCACTTCAATCTAATGTATGAAATATGATATGTCAAGAGCTTTGTAATGTTGTGAACAACCAATAAAAAAAAACATAAAAATAAATAAACAAAATAAAGGTGTTAAAACACAAACACACACACACAAGCTTAAAACATTTTATTTCATTTTGTTTTGTTTGTAAATCCAGGGGCTCTCTACACTGAGCTATATCCCCAGTCCTTTTTATTTTTTGAGACAGGGTTTCACTAATTCCTCAGGCTAGCCTCAAACTTGAGATCCTCCTATCTTAGCTTCCAGAGTAAATGGGATTACAGAGGTGCACCACCACACCTACCTTAAAATATATTCTAAATATATAAACATAAATACATACATATACACAAAAAATGATAAGCCTAATAACCCACTTACTGCATAAGATCTGGTATAATAGCATGGCCTCAGTTATCAGGGCCTCTTTGAAAATCAATCAATAAAAAAATCAACCAGCAATTATTAATAAACCATAGCATAGGGCTACAGTAAAGTTTTATTTTAATCTCCTTAAGTCTCTTGGTCACGTTTGGAAGAAGCTAAAATAACTCCTCTGAAGACTAGTAAAAGATTTAAGCATATATCCTGTCTTTCCTATGTGAACTGTATATAAGGTTAACTAAATTAATTGAATGGGAAAGTTCTTTTTAGACATAATAAATGTAGAAGGAATAATAAATGTGGAATATTGCTATTTTTTCATCCCTAATGAATGACAGACTTGGGCAATGAGTGATCGATTGTGGCTGCTAAAATTAATATGTAAAGAGCCAATGAGGGAAGTTTTTTTTAAATTTTTTTAGTTGTAGATGGACACAACACCTTCATTTTGTTTATTTACATTTTTTTAATGTTCTGAGGATCAAACCCAGTGCATCACACATGCTAGGCAAGGACTCTACCAATGAGCTACAACCCAGCTCCCATGAGAGAAGTTTCTAATAAATCAATCAGTTGATAATATACAAACCCACTGCTAAGCATTAATAAAATAAAACAGTGATATAATGGAATAAGTACACATCATGGCCAAAATAAAAGCAACAACCTAATCTAAAATGCAATCAAGCCTCTAGCTCTACTACTGTTTAAGGAAATACAAGAGAAACATGAGCAGATTAAATATTACCTCAGGGTCAGTCACAATTGGAGAAGTTTAAATTATGAAAAAAAAAATTTTCTCAATAAATAAACTATAAGAAAAAAAAAAAAAAAAGAAAAGTAGAACTTAAAAAGACAAATCAAGGCCAGGCATGTAGCTCAGTGGTAGAGTACTTACCTAACACGCACAAGGCCCAGGGTTCCATTCCCAGCATTGTAAAATAGAAGGAAAACAAAACTAAACTAAATGCAATATTTGGATCCCAATTTGAACAAATAAACTATAAAATAAAACATAAAACCAAAAGGCTATGTGATATTAAGAAATTATTATTAATCGTCATGGGAGAAGTATGCTGATACTGTCATGTTTTTAAAGTCATCCTTGTCATTTGATATACATTCTAAAATGATAATATTGTCTATAATTTGCATGAAAAGAATCAGATGGATTCTGGTGAATGGTGTTGATGAATGTGACTCTGAATGAAATTCATTATGTATTATTCTAATTCTAGTTTTTTTGTTTTTGTTTTTAGAGATGAGGGTCTTACTATGTTGTCCAGGCTGACCTCAAATTCCTGGGCCTCAGCCTCCCAGTAGCTGGAACTACAGGCATGTGCCACCATGCTCAGCTCTAGTCTTATCTTTTTATATGTTTGAATTTTTTCCATAATAAAACACAATCATAAAGTTGGGCAGAGTGGTACATATTTAAGTCAAGAAAAAAGGAAACAAATAAAAAAAACAATTAATTAAAAGGAGAAAAGAGAAAATTGATTACCTATTTCTTACATATAAGGGAAATTGGGCACTGAAGCATCTTCAAGTCAATTACGAAACATGAAATATAGTTCAATCACTAAGAGACTGAATTCTGGAGCCAGAATGTCCACGTCAAATCCAGGCTTTGTCATTTGCTAGATATATAAACTTGAGCAAAGAGTAATGTTTCTGGACCTCAGTTTCCTCATCTGAAAAGTAGAATAATTTACATGCCTTATGGGACACTAATTTAAGTGTTTTATAGATATAAGTAAGTTCATTATTTAGATATAATAAATAAGTTTATTTATTATAAATATATAAATAAGTTTATTAACTTAGATATAATAAATAAGTTCATTTTATCTATAAAACACTTAAATTAGTGTCAATGCTTAGACCAGTAAAAAATTTTATGGACTAGGGGCTGGGGCTGGGGATGTGGCTCAAGCGGTAGCACACTCGCCTGGCATGCATGCGTCCGGGGTTCGATCCTCAGCACCACATACAAAGATGTTGTGTCCACTGAAAAACTAAAAAATAAATATTAAAAAAAATTCTTTCTCTCTCTCTCTCTTTAAAAAAAAATTATGGACTAATTTAATCATAGCATACTCATTCAATAAAATATGCTAACACTAAAAATGATGTTGGATAAGTATATCTGTTGGCATACGAAAATATTCACAACATATAAATAAAATTACAAGTGCTATGATTTGAATGTTTTCCCAAAAATTCATCTATCAAAACTTGATCATCATTGTGAAGTATTAAGAGATGGGACCTTTAGGAGATGATTAAGCCATGAGGGCAATGCTCTCTTTAATGGGATTATCACTCTTAAGGGACACAGTAGGTCCTTTATTGCCCTTTTGTTCCTTCTATCATGTGAGGACACAGCATTCAACGTGCCATCTTGAAAGCAGAGAGCAGTCCTCACCATACCTATGGGTTCCTTGATCTTAGCTTTCCCAACCACTGGAACTGTGAGAAATACATTTCTGTTGTTTATAAATTACCTAATCTCAGGAATTTTGTTATAGTAGCACAAATAGATTAAGACATAGATACCTCAGAAAAGCTATTCTTGGTTTTAAAAGTAAGTTATAAATATAAAAACAGACACCAAAAGTAAACAGTGGCTATATCATGGATAATTATTATTTGTGGTTATCTACCTTTTCTGGTTTATTCTATGGTAAGCACATAGCATATGACATTTTATTTGTTTTCATTTATTTATTTACTTTTTTTAAAGATTGATGTGATTTTTTATACCTTTATTTATTTATTTATTTATTTTTATGTGGTGCTGAGGATCAAACCCAGTACCTTGCACATGCTAAGCGAGCACTCTACCACTGAATCCCAGCCCCAGCCCCTATTTATTTATTTTTGTATTGGGGATTGAACCTAGAGGCATTTTAACACTGAGCATATCCCTAATCCTTTTTATTTTTTATTTTGAGCAGGATCTCACTAATTGCTTAGGGCCTCACTAAGTTGCTGAGGCTAGCCTCAAACTTGTGATCCTCCTGCTTTAGCCTCCTGAGTTGCTGGATTTATAGGTGTGTGCCCTTGCAAGCTGCTCATATGATTGTTTTAAATGTTTTTTTTTTAATATCTTAAATTCTGCTTCATAGTTTTTAATCATACAATATGTTGTCTTAATCACGCCATTCCCCTATACACAAGCATCACTACTCAAATTTTATTCTAAAGATTTGTATGCATTTTCACATAAAAATAATTCTCTTGACAGTGGGAGTTATAAATACAAAATGGAAATACAATGGGCCTATGATGTAATAATACTAGTTTAATCATGATGCTTGATTTTGTGACAGGTTATTATGAGTGATTTTTCCTCTCTCTCCTTTTTTTACTTTTCTGTACTATTTAATTGTTCTACAGTGGATATGTATTATTCCTAGTTTGAAAGAAAATTTTAAAAAAGGAATGAAATGAGATGATAGAAATAAGGAGCTGGCTATAGTGCCTGTTTACTTTTAAGATGCCAAAGAACCCTTTATAAGATGGAATTACAGATTATTTTCATATTTATATTTTAATACATTTACTTCCCTGAGTATTACTTTTACAATAAATAATATGTCTAGCAGAGACTGCAAGTTTTCCTCCAGTACTAATTTTTCCCCTCACTTTTAATGATAGAGTATGTGATCTTTCAGAATAAATACCACATTTTCTAAATTCACTTGCAGCCAAGTATGGCCATAGATCATAACTAAAAATGGTATGTTTAACTTCAGGAAACTGTGCTTAAATATAAGATATATCCTTCCTGCTCCTTCCCTCCTCTTTCTGCTGGGGTCTTAGTGGAGTGGCTGAAGCCAGAGCAGCTATTTTGGACCAGAAACGGAAGAATCGTGCATATCTCATGTTTGTGGAGGTGGCATGCCAGCCCTGGACTCTACATGTAGGGGAGAAGGAAATAAAGGTGTAATTTAAGTTCCTGATATCTTGGATTTTTGTTACTCATCATCAACCCTAATCCTGACTTATAAAAAAAAAAAAACAGACAAAAGAGAGTGTGTGTTTTGTGCTAATGATTATCTAGGTCAGCCTTATACATACACAGCATCATCTGATCATCCACATTCTGCCTCAACATAAGTTCTTCATAAAGTAGCCTATAATTATTCTTATACTGACTTAAAGTGTGCTTCCATTAATTTTACCATTTTCTCATCCCTTAAATAGAGATATCAAGTTGTTTTTCCATATGACAATCCTTCAAACATTTTATTTTTATTTGTTTATTTTGTGTGTTGGTTTGGTTTGGTTTGGTTTGGTTTTGGTTTTGCAGTGCTGGGGCAAATATCTTAAAACAGTTATGTTCCCAATGAGACTTCTATTTTCAAATCAAACATTCCTAGCTGTTTTTTTTCCCAAAAAAATATAATTTACTATGTTCCAAGGGTAGTGCTAAATGCTTTACATGCAATACTTGAATTAATTCTATTAAACAGCCATTACTATCCCCATAAAATAAAGAAAAAAAGAGGAATTTGCTCAAGGACCTAGATCCATGCAGTCCTAGTCCTCTCTGCTTCTAAGACATAATTTATAGATCCTTGACCATCTGTTGTTTCTTGACCCTATTTGTCACTTACTGTCATAAAGAATAACATGAAAAAAAATTGTCTAAAGGACAGAGTACAGTGACACTACTTTCTTTATTATTAATATAATTAAAATAATATTTGATTTCTGGCAACCCTTTACATTAAGCAGGCACCTTCCAATCTAATCATAGAAAACTTACATTAATCTTCTTAAAGCATTATCTTTTTCATTTACACCCAGCACTTGAACTTAGTAATATCTTTGTGAATTTTTTTTTTTTAACAGTACTGGATATTGAACCCACGGGCACTTTGCCACTGAGCTGCATCCCTACCCCTTTTTATTTTTTATTTTGAGACAGGTTTCGCTAAATTGCCAAGGCTGGCTTGGAGCTTGCAATCTTCCTTCCTCAGCCTTCTGATGAGCTGGGATTACAGGCGTCTACCACCATGCCTCACTCTTTTGAATCTTATATAGTACTGCCATCTGACATCATATAGCACCAGCTTATGTCATCCACAATTAAATCAGAATGCCTTTTACAAATAGAATACCCGAAAAACAGACTGATCAGATTAGGGACAGGCACAATGCTTCTAGAAATTTTTATCCAGGCTGATAATACAAGTTAGTTTTTGAGATGAACTTAAAATAATGAATCAAGGTAAGTCATTTTATTGATGATGGGGCACTAAGTAAGGGAGACAGAATCTTATACAGATCCAGGACCAGTGAATCTGAATCTGGGGTTTACTTACAGCTGGTGAAAGACTGACCTTAAAAAAATTTTCTTGAAAAACAACAAAATGCTGATTGTTATCAAAGCTGGGCCATGGGAATTTGAGGATTCATTGTATTGTTCATTTTTTTGCTTTTGGAAATTTTGTTTTTAAAAACTTTTTGCATATAGGGATTTAACCCAGGGTCACTATATCACTGCATTATATCCCAACCCTTTTTATTTTGAGACAGGGTCTCATCAAGTTGCCCAGACTGGCTCACGGTGTTTGGAAATTTTCATAACAACAACTTGCAAAAATATTTTAATTTTTTAAAATTCCAGTTGATGAGATAACTCTATTAAAATTAGCAGTTCTCTATCAGTGACTTACCTACTGTGTGGTAATAAGGCGAAAGAACAGAGGCTTTTACACAATTGATTCCTCCTAGTACCTCTGCTAACATTTTATAAATTTGCAGTTGTGCTCCATTCATGCTGCCAGTATCTTTTTGAAAACAAAAATGAGTCCTAAGTAGTTAGTTTTCGAATGATAATAATCTCAATTCCACAAAACAAAAAAAAATTAATATTTCCAATAAAAATTTCAATGTAATACCGCATATGTAATGACAATAAATTCAATACACTCATAATAACTTGTCCCAAATACAAGTTCTTGCTCGCAAGAGGTTTAGTGTCTTATTTAAGAAATTTTTGTAACACAAATTGCACTTATAAAATCTCAACTAAAAAAATCAAACAGGCCCTCTTGGAAACTCTAGTATCACATTTAGTTTTAACAGTAGTAACAATATACTCCCTAATACTTTACTTTAGAATTAAATTTCACTATCTCACCAAAAGAAAACTCAAACCTTTATTATAGTGTTGTTGACAGAAGCGTTCATGAAACCATGGAATTTGAAACTCAGGGCATTCCAAGCGGACTGCTCTATTTAATTCCATAAGACGAAACTGGACCCTTGAACGAAGAGATGATGGTAAAACTGAAATAAAAATGAAGTACTAATAATTTTAATAGTTTAGACTTACAAAAACATCTCATTTTTTCACACCATTTATCCCCACTATTGGTTGATACTTTCACGCATATTATAAAGTCACTTCGTTTATCCAAAAACACTTTACATTTTTAAATTATTGTATTTAAGGAGCATGATTAGGACCAACTTCTACACCATTTTCATTAGTTGTGAATTTTACAACTACATTTAAAAAAATACTACCAAGGACTGAGGATGTAGCTCAGTGGTAGAGCACTTGCCTACTGTGTTTGAGGCCATGGTTCAAAACATAAAAACAAAAACACAATTTCATTGACCTAATACTCCATATTTAGAAATTTATTCTAAGGAAACAATCAATGATCATAATAATTCACTATGTAATAATTCATATGTAACAATTCATTATTTATAATAATGAGGAACAGGAAACAACCTATAACAAGTCAATTTTATTATATCCACATAATGGCATATTATATATACAATTAAAAAATCAGGGGCTGGGATTGTGGCTCAGTGGTAGAGCACTTGTATAGCATGTTCGAGGCCCTGGGTCCAATCTTCAGTACCACATAAAAATAAGTAAATAAAATAAAGGTATTGTGTCCAACTACTTCTAAAAAATAAATATATATATAAAGAAAAAAAAATCATGAGCCAGGTGAGGTGGCTCATACCTGTAATCTCAGCAGCTCAGCAGGAGAATTGAGAGTTCAAAGCCAACCTCAGCAAAAGTGAGGCACAAAACAACTCAGTGAGACCCTGACTCTAAATAAAATACAAAATAGGGCTGGGGATGTGACTCAGTGGCTGAGTGCCCCTGAGTTCAATCCCCAGTACCCAAATAAAAAAAAATAATAATAAACATGACATCAAAAAATATTTCAAGACCTGGGGTTGTGGCTCAGTAGTAGAGCACTCACATAGCACATGCAAGGCCCTGGGTTCAATCCTCAGCACCACATAAAAATAAATAAAATAAAGGCATTGTGTCCAACTACAACTAAAAAAATATTTTTAAAATATTTCATGACATGGAATTTTGCTCAAAATATGGTTAGATGAGAAAAGACAGCATACAAAATAAATATATAAATAATCCAAATTTGCTTTAAAATACATACAGATATATAAACATTAAAATCAAGAGAAAAACAGAAAAGAAATACCCCAATGAAGGAAGGAAGAAATGAATGAACAATCAACAGTTTCACCTGGTGGTATAATTATGGGTAATTTTTTTACTTTCTATTTTCTATTTTTATGTTTTCCAAATTTTCTACAATAAGCATGAAAAATCTAGGGCTTCGTGTTAGGCAAGTGCTAGGTAAGCTATACCTCCTGATAATGTCATAAAATAATTTTATTTATAGGAAAAAAGTAGCATTAAAATTAAATGATTTAGTATGGATAGAGTTGACATAAAGTACAAGTGATAATTTAAAAAATTAAATGTAGATACGTACTTTCAAGTTGAGAATCTAATCTTGCTAAGAATTTGATGTTAAAAATTGTCTTTAGCAAATTTTCTGGAAAATATTCAAGGGTTGCCAAAGAGAAACCAAGAAACACTAACATAACAGGATCCAATGTACCTAAAAGAAAACTTGATTTAATAAAATATGTAATGTACAGCTGCCTCACATATAGGTAAATATATAATTTATTCAGATAAAGACAGGTTTAAAAATACATATAATTAGCATTGACAAAACTAATCAATACTGTTCTAAGTCAGGATAATAGTTAAATGGATGGGGATAAGAAAGGGGGAAAAGAGAAGAAAGATACTATAATATTCTGTTTCTGATTCCCTAGGTTGATTAAATATAGGTAAATTCAAACTATTATACAAAGTTTATATAAATGTTCTTATAATTTAATTAAAAGTTTTAAAAACTGCCTTCAAAGAAAAAGAATTAAAAACAAAAGGACAGTAGTATAAGTAAAAAGAGAAGTGATCCTAGTGTCTATGTTTGGTGATGATGTAATAGTGCTCAGAATTTGGTAGATACCACTCTAAGCACTTTATAGATGTTAATTCATTTAAACCTCATTTATGTAAATAGAATTTACAGAATATTATCTGTTTTATATTAAATGGGAATAGGGAAGCACAGAGAAGTTAAAGACTTGCCCCAGATGACAGAGTTATTAATCAAGGTGGGGATTAACTCAGAAAGTCCAGCTCTATGTCACTGTGCTGCTCACTGGGGATCTCAGGACTCTAGGTTGAGTGTACAAATATTTGAGGCTAGTACCCCACCCTACTCCACTATGCTCCATCCTGAACACTCACCCTGCAGTAATGTTCTTGAGAGTACTTCTCACACATGACCATATAGATTTGTCTATGCTTTCTACTAGTATTTCCTCACCAGAAATTAAATTCAATAATGGTAACCTACCTGTTTTTGTTCTCTCCCTCCCTTATATCCAGTGCCTAGCAGAGTACCTAACAATAACCATGTGGTAAAGCCATGCATTGAGGCACATGCCTGTAAACCCTGCCACTAGGGAGGAGGCTAAGGCAGGAGCATCACAAGTTTGAGACTGTCTGAAACTAAAAACTTTTAAAAGGGCTCATAGCTCAGTGGTAAGTGCTTGCCAACATGCATAAGGCCTTGGGTTCAATTCCTAGTACCATACACATATACAAAAAATATATATGGAGGGTGTTCACTGAAAAGGTAAGAACTACCATATAGTTCACTTTTAAAACTTTCACGGATAAGAAGTGGTTAGGATCTGAGAAGAAAAGCCCCATAAAACCCTACCTTTAAGCATTAAGTAATATAAGCAAGACTCAGGAAGACAAGTGTATGTTTTCTCTCATATGTTTAAGCTAGAGAGAAAAAATAAAAGAAAGGGAGTAGGAGAATTTCCTGAAAATAGAAGGGAAACCATTAGGGTAGAAGAAGGAAATAAGGTGGAGGGAAGAAGGAAGAGAAAGAAGAGGAGGGACTGTGGAATGAAAACAATCAAATTATATCATATGTATATATAAAATGCTACAACAAAACCCACTGTTACGTGATACTTATTTTATACCAATTTAAAAAAATTTAAACCCTACTCCTTGAAGGCCAACTTCTCTCAAATACAATTCAGAAGCCAAAATAAGGAATAACAGGGAAAAAATAATTTCCTGCCTCTTATTATCTGCTTCTGCTAATGCCAATGACAGGAAAGACCAACTTTACTCCATTTTTCCCCAGTACTGAAACATTATTTTAAAACTTTTTTAGGACACACAAAATAATCAGCACCAGAGCACCAACCTTTCAGACAATTCATAAACACCTAAAGCACCTAAGAAATATTTACTTTCAATAAGCAAACTATTAAAATGGACAGAAACAATCAAATAGTATGTGTTTCCAGATCTCATATAAATATAAGACACATAGTACCACAAGCAAGGTATTTTTTGCTGAAATATTTAAACTAAACTTAATTAAGTTTCTATAACTAACTTCTAATTTGCTAGAAATACAGGAAATGGAGGAACAAGCCAAAAGAAAGCAAATGGACAAATCCATAATGTGACATAATCTACAATAAATGGCTGATCTCTATTCTATAAAATAAATATCAAGAAAAAAGATAGGGGGAAAGTGACATAACCACTACATTCTGTCTTGTTTTGTTTTGTGGTACTGAGGATTGAACCCAGGCCTTGTGCATGTGAGGCAAGCACTCTTATCAACTGAGCTATATCCCCAACCCCTGTTTGTTTTAAAAAAGTTAGAAAGAACAACTGGGAAAGTGTGATTGTGGACCAGGAAGTAGATATTACTTGTTCAACTGTTAATCATTATTCAAGCTAAGATTATAAGTATACAATATACAGATGTCTGTTATTGTCCTTTCAATTTTTCTAAATATTTGAAAACTTTAATAACAAAAAGTTAGAAAAAAGTAAAAAACCTCCCCATGAAATGTCAATTCTGAGTTATAAAAAAAAATAGAAAAAATATTGTAGACTATAAGAGACTGAAAAGATTACAACCAAAAGCAAAGAGTGAACCTTGATGGATCCTGGGTCCAAAATAACCTAAAAGGCATTTAGGAGCAACTGGGGAGATTTAAATGTGGACTATATATTAGATATTTGGGAACTATTAATAAGTTTCTTAGATGTGCTAACAGTATGAAGTGTTATTATTCTTGGAAAGCATATAGTACAGTGATTAGGGATAAAAGATCACAATGTCTACAACATACTTAGAAATGGCTCCAAAAAAAAGTGAACAAGAGAGAAAAACAGATAAGGCACATATGATAAAATGGTAACATTACTAAATCTACACATTGAGTATAGGTGTTCCTTATTCAATTATTTTAATTTTTAATACAGGTTTGACATTTTTCATGATGAAAGTTTCAAAAAGGGATATAAAACATGTTTAGGTACAGAATTCATGACTATTTATGCTTATCCTACAATGAGGGACACCTCTAAGCTCATACTTAACTCAAATATCCTCTGATATACTCATTCAATGCATTACCAAACAATATACCCACCTAAGTGAGAATTAAGGCATTGCATGCATGTCCCCAAAAATTCATTCCTTTGAGGTGGATCATAGTTCAAAATGCTGAATGGAAGAATAATAGCAAGAATTGAAAAAGGATGGATCTGTATAAATAGAACAAATATTTTACAGTTAAACTTCAGTAAACTGAAAGAAAATTTTAACCTAATTATTATTTTTTAAACATTTTTTTCAGTTGTAGATGGACCCCTTTATTTTATTTATTTATTTACCTATTTATTTATATGTGGTGTTGAGGATTGAACCCAGTGCCTCATACATGCCAGGCAAGCACTCTACCACTGAGCTATAGCCCCTAATTATTATTTTAAGTCAACTTTTTCCTAACATGACTATAGTTAAATGATAGATGTTATCACTCTGCTTATTAATTTTTCTATAATGCTATAAACTTATTTAACTTATGACTAATTATTATTAATAATTCCAAAAGTGCTAATGCAGAAAAAATTAGACAATCTACAAATTGATTTCATTAGTTGTAAAACTCTAATACAGATCCCACTACTAATTAAAATAGTACACAGAATCACTTATTTCCATATCAGTGCATTTTACAGAATCATCATATAAATAAATAAGTTTCTTAATTTGTAATCATCAACATACTGTTTTCATTTATTCTTTTTTTAAATTTCATTATTCACTCACTCATCCAATACTTAATAACTGTTAGGCACTAAGCTAAGCAAATAAGACTTTTATTTTCATTTGTTGAGAAATACTGTCATCTAAGTAAAGGCCTTATCCTGATTTTATATATATTTGTATATACAATAGTGATTATATAAGTGATATTCTTCTCACATAATCCACAAAGCATCATTTTACAGGTTAGTTTCAAAAATAAACCTGTGATAAGATACACTGACAGGGCCAGGGTTGTAGCTCAGTGCTAAAGCACTTATCTTGCATGTGTGAAGAACAGGGTTTGATCCTCAGCGCCACATAAAAATAAACTATTGTGCCCATCTACAACTCAAAATATTTTTTTAAAAAGATGCACTGACAATTGAAGAATACTGATGTCAGTGTATATCTTATAATTTTCTAAGTTTTCACACTTATCATGCACTTTTGAACACAAATATTTTAAAACTAATAAAATACCATAGGATTATAAAAAAAGAAAAAGGAAGAACAAAAATTCTTCATCCTCTACTACCTTAATACACTCAATGTCATTTTAAGTGTTTCTTTCTAGTCAAAGAATTCTGATTACTGATCTTAACAATACTGTAAGGAAGCAAAGAATGCCACTGATCTCCCCAAATCTGGAGGCAGTGGCTTTAAAGGGAGAAGAACAAATTATTGAACCAGAAACCATAGATTAATTTTAACCTTTAAATTCTAATCCAAGTTCTCAAAGTATTTATGTTATACTAAAGTATAACATTTAAATTTCACCTTTTCAATCTGCTCAATAACCACTGAGGCTATCTTATCAAGTAGCAAAGTACTGAGGTAGTTAGTTCTAGATATAAAAGATGCAATCTTTGAAACATTCATACAATTCATTCCATCCATCAAACGATGTAAAGCTGCAATTGTTTCTTCAACAAGAGATTCACGAAACCAGTCTTCTTTTAAAGATTTAACTTCCTCCCATAACAGATCTAAATTGTTGCTTTGTTGTAATCTCTGATGACTGTAGTGATCTAATTTTTGAAGTAGTTTCAGTTGTTTCCCAGTAATGCTACTCATATGCATGTGATCATACTGAATCCATCTTAAAACAGATGTGGCAAAATCATTCAAGCCATATAGGTTACACTGTGGTAAAACTGCTTCAATTCGGGATACTGATGTTTCATCAAGGTGAGGAGAAGGAAGCATGGAAATAGCATAGACCAGGATGGAAATCTCACTCGGTATGACACTAACTTTCAAATAACTATAAAAGAAGGGGTGGGGATGAAAAGAACAAAATTAATACATCAGCAACCAGCAAAACCAAAATATATATTTATTTAAAGTGAATATATCATCATTATTATAATCAACATATGAGGTAAGCTTAAAATGGGAGCTAATTTAAGAATATTTAGATACTTTAAAAATGACAAGTTGCAAAGGGTCACTGAGAAGAGCCTAAGATGTCCCAAAGCATGCTCCGAGTTTCTTATGCAAAAATAAAACCATAGTCCCTGCCAAACAGAAGGTCAGTGTCAGAATAATGTTTCCAGTGCTGTTGCTAGAGGAAGAATTTGGGCTCAGTTTCTGATATGACCTGTCAGGAACTGCTATGACCTTGTATAGGCCTTGGCACAAAGTAATCATTCAATATTACTTCACTTTCATTTCAGTTATATAGGAAGTCCAACCACAACACACACACACACACACAAACACACACACAGACCATACAACATCCTTTCCCAATCTCAATGCTGAACAGTCCACCAAGGGGACATCAATTGTTAAACTATAAATAAAAAAACCTGGGAGCTTTTAAAAATCTTCAGATTTAGAAGTAGAAGAAGGAATAATCCAATCTAAGTTAAAAAAAAACTGAGTTGCTTTTTAAAATATTAATTTAACACAGATAAACAAACACAAGGAATGCAGGTAACATAGCAAGACCCTGTTTCAAAAAATAATAAATAAACAAATCCAAATACCACAAAAAAACAAACAAACAAAAAAACACTAAAATTTACACAATCCAGATAAAAAATAAATCATACTGCATAATTCTGTTTATATAAAAATATAAAGGCAAAACTAATCACACACAGCTAGAAATAGAAATAGCAGTTAACCCTGGAGATAGATACAAAGCAATAAGATGGGGAATATGTACATTTTTATGTAGATTATACTTCATTAAGTTAAAAAATAACAAACATAGCTGGGCATGGTAGCTCAAACCTATATTCCCATCAATTTAGAAAACTGAGGCAGGAGGAAAGCAAATTCAAGGACAGTCTCAGCAACTTAGTGAGGTCCCCAGCAATTTAGGGAGGCCCTGTCTCAAAATAAAAAATAAAAAGCTGAGCATGTGGCTCAGTGGTAAAGCATCCCTGGTTCAGTTCTCAGTACCAAAATAAACCTCAACCAGATATTATTTCAATACAAGAACTCTCAAGTTTTCTGAGCTGTTTCAGGAACTTTTTATATAAGCATTTATGTTAATTGAATTAGACTTCATTCCCTCTAATACCAACTTGAAATTGTCTATACTGAAGTGAAGGGAGGTAATTCTAAATCATAAAGCCCCTACAATTTTGTATAAATTCTCCCCAAATTTTAAATTACTCAATGACTCAAAAATAGCTTTTGAGCAGGGTATGGTGTTATACACCTATAATCAATCCCCAACTATTTGGGAACCATTATTTCTAGGTCAGGCTGGAAAACATACTAAGACTCTATCTCAAAAAAAAAAAAAAAAAAAAGGGAAGAAAAACATATATTTTTGTAGAGTAGGGGGACAGCTCAGTGGAGATCACTTATGTTGCAAGCAGGAGACCCTGAGTTTGATGGCTAGAACTAAAACAATAAATAAATGAGAAAAAAATTTTTTGGGGGGGTGAGTACCAGGGATTGAACTCGGGACACTCAACCACTGAATCACATCACAGCCCTATTTTGTATTTTATTTAGAGATAGGGTCTCACTGAGTTGGTTAGTGTCTCCCCATTGCTGAAGCTAGCTTTGAACTCTCAATCCTCCTGTTTTGGCCTCACGAGCCGCTAGGGTTACAGGCGTGCTCCACTGTACCCAGCAAGAAAGAAAAGACATTTTTGATAAAATTTTAAACTATAGAGATATATAAGGTACTCTCACTACTCAGATTCTATATTAAACACAGAAAGGGTAAAGAAACAATAACCATGGATGTAATCATTTAAATAAGAAAGCTATTTCTTCAAGAAAAGGGTGAACTCTTATACCTAACATGTTAAATTCTCATCTGAAAAAAAAGTCAATCCTTATTTCTCAGTTCAAATTCTTTTGAATCATAATAACATATCACTTTATTACAATAAAAATCATTTTCAATATATGTCAATGTTTTGATTACAGTATATAATCCCATGCTTTATCTTTTAGAAATCAATATGAGAAATCAAATTAGTAGTGATAAATGGAGGGGAAAAGATTGATTTGGCCTGAACCTCATTCCAGTAATTATTCTCATCTTTAAAATAATTTTTTCCCTTTTATGCTACTAGGGTTTTGATCCTAGGTCTTCAATTATGCTGGGCAAGCATTCTACCATTGAGCTACACTCCCAGATCTTAACATTTTTAATAACAAACTCCTCAATTTCCCCTCCAAAAAGTCTAGTAATTCTGTACATAATTAAGCAATTCAAATATTGCAGATAGATTACAAAACGAAACACTGAACAAATTCATATTTTAATCTTACCTAAGCAGCAATTCTCTGAGTTTCACAAAAAGCGCTTTACTTTGAAAATGTAGAAAAATTAATGCCTGAGTTATCTTCAGTAACTCTACTGGTTTATAGTTATCCAAATGTTTATGCAAAACTGAAGCAATTCTAAAAAGAATGACAGAACATATATTACAACCATTTTACTCATTAATTTATGAAACACTGTGCAGTTTTCATGCCAGTTACTCTGCTCTGTTTTCTTCAATATTAAGGCTTAAGTATAATCCAATCTAAAACTCCCTAAAAATGTATAAATAAGAAGTATTACAATGATTTTATATATATATATATATATATATATATTTGGGAAATGCTAAGAGGTAACTAGAAGAAATATCAAAAGAAATGCACATATGATACATAATGAAAATTAAGCATACATAATTTAAAAATATATTTTTCCTTCAATTTCAAGTTATCAAAAAAGCCAGAATATATGGGGCTGGGATTGTGGCTCAGCGGTAGAGTACCTGCCTAGCACGGGTGGGACCCAGGTTCGATCCTCAGCACCACATAAAAATAAAAGGGCATTGTGTTGTGTGCATCTACACCTAAAAAATAAGTAAATAAATTAAAAAAAAAAAAGCCAGAATATGGTATTATTTTTTCAAGGTAACACTGTAGTATAGATGGATGTTAACTGTTCTCTTGAATAATAGGTTCCTTGCTCTGTGCTCTCCACTTGTGTGGATTATGATACTTTGCTCTAGTAGAACAGCAGCAGTAAATGAAATGAAAGATGATATAAAAATTTTTGTTACCTCTATTGTGAAAAAGAAACAAGAACAAAAGCAATGCCTTAAGTGCTGACTCCTTATTTCTTCAAAACAATTATTATAAAAAACAATTATTTTATTCAATTATTTTACTACTTATGGGGCTGGGGCTGTAGCTCAATGGCACAGCACTCTCCTAGCATGTGTGAGGCACTGGGTTCAATTCTTAGCACCACATATAAACAAAACAAAATAAAGGCACGCTGTTCCTCTACAACTACAAAAAAATAAATTAATTAATTAAAAATAAAATAAAGGCATTCTGTACCATATACAACTACAAAAAAAATTTTGGAAAAAAAAAAGGCTACTTCTGATTGACAACTAAACCCCAGGACTTTCAGTAAAGATTACTTTTTAATCAAATGTGAATTTCTGCTTTCCATATCTTCCATTGCTTTCACCACTGCTAAGGCTTGCTGGCTGGTGAGCTCCTCTGATATCAATAGCATGGTTGATTTAAGTCTAAAAGCAAAGAAAAATATTTTTACAATTAAAAACTGATAATTAACCTAATATATATTTTTTTTCAGAATTGGGTATTAAACCCAGGGGTTATTTACCACTGAGCTACATTTTCAGTCCTTTTATTTTTCATTTTGAGACAGGATCTCACTAATTGCTAAGTTGCTTAGAGCCTTGCTAAGTTTCTAAGGCTGGCCTTGAACTTGTGATCCTCCTGCCTCAGCCTCCCTAGCTGTTGAGATTATAGGTATATGCAACCATGCATGGCTAACTTGTAATTTTTTTTTAAATAAAAGGCTATGAGCCAGGTGCACACCTGTAATCTCAGAAGCTGGGGAGGCTGAGGTAGGAGGATCTTGACTTCAAAGCCAATCTCAGCATCTTAGTTAGGCCCTAAGCAACTAAGTGAGAGCCTGTCTGTAAATAAAATATTAAAAAGGGCTGAGGATCTTGCTCAGTGATTGAGTGCTCCTGGGTTCAATCCCCAGTACCAAAAAAAAAACAAAAAAAAAACCCAGTTTGTGGGTAACAAATAGAAAAGAAATAATATAAAAATTGAATTTCATAAGATGATGTATTAAGAACTGTGTAATGTTTTGAACGACCAACAATTAAAAAAAAAATTGAATTTCATGTCTAATTCTAATTTTCTGCCCACATACTTGGGGATAATATAAAATAATATTAAATAAGGAAAAATATACTGTTTTCTTCAATAATTAAGGCTTAAGTATAATCCAATCTAAAACTCCCTAAAAATGTATAGATTAGAAGTATTATAATGATTTCAAATAAGATAAGGTTATAATGATTATAAAGCACTATGATTCAGTGAAATTATCTAGTACTAGAGAGCTAAGATACTAATTGATATTTTTAATAATATTTATTAAATCTAGTGAGATTTTATAACATCTTGTCAGATGTTTAAACTTGTATAAGAACTAACCTGAAAGCCAATTTACCTTCCTATTAACAAAAATCTTATATATTAAGCACTAACTGTAACACTACAATCCGAAAATTAACAAAGATGACCTATTTTTTGAAATGTTTTTTAGTTGCAGATTAACACAATACCTTTCTTTCTTTTTTCTTTCTTTATCTAACCCAGTGCCTCACACATGCTAGGCAAGTACTCTACCATTGAGCCACAACCCCACCCCCAAGATGACCTATTTTGAAACTATCCAAAGTGCTGTGGTAATGAAAGAATCAAGATATAAGTGTCTTATATGCATACATGAATATCCCACAATGATATCTATTCCTCTATAATATGTTCTAATACAAAAAAGATAAGTCTTTTGGAGTAGTTTAAAAGATAAATTCAAAAGGTGAAACCTGAGGAGAGAAGAATAAATTTTCTATTCATAGCTCCATACTATCCTTTCACCAACATTATGGAATGCTTCAAACCATCTTCTCCCCAAGGCTTTTCTCAACCACTTCAATCTATGTTTCTCTCGCTTCTATCTACCCACAACATTTCCAGTCTACAACACTAATTTTAGTATTTAGTCATAAACCATGTTGTGATACTCTAATATTAAACATTTCAATTATTTACTTCTAATCCTAGCAACTTTGTACATAATAAAAAAATTATTTTCCTAATTAAAATATAAATTCCTTCAAGCAGAAATCCAGTTAAATCCAAATTTACAACTCTTGTATTTCTTTAGCATGTTTTTTTTTTTCCTTTTAAGTGCTGGGGATGGAATTCAGAGCTTTGCACATGTTGAGCAAATGCTTTACCACTGAGCAATAGCTCCAGCCCTAAAATCATATTTTAATATTTGCTTGGTGACAAAAAGATTACAGTAAACATTTTTTAAAATAATTATGTTTCTATATAGATGCAATCTCTTAAGATGTACCCTTAGTTTTTAAAATATATTTTTAGTTGTAGATGGACACAATATTTTTAACTTATTTATTTATTTTATGTGGTACTGAGGATTAAACCAAGTGCCTTACAGGTGCTAGGCAAGCAGTCTACCAATGAGCTACAACCACAGCCCCTCTTTAATTTTTTTCATATAATTCAAAAATAAAAATTTTCTATAAAGTTTTCCTTAACAGAATAATGATGCAGATTCCTCTGTTAGACAACTCCTAGAAACCCCTTGCTTAACTGAATCCATTAATCATACTTATCCAAAAGGGCTGTTATTCTAAATATTCCATATGCTTATGCTGGTAAGGGGAATCTTATACCCAAGTGTAAACCCAGTCACATGGCCTAGGAAAGAAGAATCTTATGTACTAGTCATATTTAGCTTATGTATTAATTTCATATTTGCTCATCTTTATATCTCAAATATTTCTCTAAATCAATATCCATCAAAAATGGAAAATTTTAAAAGACATGAGTCAGACCAAATTCACATAGGAAATATGCCAATGTGCTTAATATGTGCTTTTGATGATGAATGCAATGACTACAAGAAACCACAAAAGGGTTCATTGTTAGATCCACTATAGTTCTAAATATAAATACACATAATTTGTGCCCATATAAACCCATAAACCCAGTCATCTGGTCTAGGAAGGGAACATAAAATCACTTAGTGTTCTCCCTCAGTTTTTTCTGTGTTGGCCCAGCACCAGCAATTTATTAGCTCCCTTTTAGAACATACCAGTAGATTAAGAGTTGGAGATATAAATAAGGATAAAGAATCCAGAAGCAGATCATAACAGATTATTTCCCCTTCATGGTTTAATTGGGTAATTTTTGTGCCAGAGGGCCAAGGAGACCTAAGCTTGAAGACTCCATATATTCCCAAGAAGAAAAGTAAAGCATATGACATTGAACTCACTGTTTCTTTTCTTCAGGTCCTGCCACTGGTCCCAATGCAACAAACAATTTCACAAAGCTTGCAGGGTTATCAAAGAGAGGAATCATCTCAGTTAGCCTCTTTTTAGCCACTATAACAAATTCAAAACTATAAAACTGTAGGAACTGATATTCATCAAATATTTTACTGATGGAATCCAAATCAAGGTGGTTCATGTTATCTAAAAACACTTTATTACACCTCTCTAATAGAGGGTAATATCTATATTTAACATTTTGAAGAAATTGTACTATTCTTTTTGCAATGTCGACCTCAGGAGAACTCATGTTGTCAAAAAGAAGCTCTGTTTTATTCACTAACTGTTCTTGAAAATGTTGTGATATTAAAGAAGATATGTTGACCATCAAGACACACAAGGACCTGAAGAAGGAAAAAGACAAATTTTTACATTACTGAAGAAAACAACCAAAACTAAATGATTAGATGTGGAAAGAAATTGGCAAAAATGTTGTTGCGTACTGTAAAATTTTCCATTTAAATATTAAAGGGAGTTGAATTCAGATCTCCCAGTAATCACTTTTAGAGAAAAAAAAAACATTCAAATTAATATTTTTCATGGAATATATAAAATACCTTGTTCTGTAGATAAAACTAAAACTACTTTGTTGGAAAATATTTTTACTCAGAAATCACTTTGGACCAACAGCTCATGAATGTTATCCTACAAGTAGTAGGGATTAGACCCAGGCCCTTGAGTATGCTAAGTAAGTGCTCTACCACTGAGCTACATCCTGAGTCATTTTTTCTGTTTGTTCATTTGTTTTGAGACAGGGTCTCAAGGAGTTCCCCAGGCTGGCCTTGAACTTGTAATCCTCCTGCTTTAGCCTCCTGAGTAGCTAGGATTACAAGGTACAGTGTGACACTACTCTTGACTTCATTTTGTATTTTCAGAAGTTGACTTTTTGCTACTCTTTCCTGTGTATCTATGTAATTTATTAATATACTCCTGGAAAATATTTCTTACTACTGAATGATTTGAATAATTTCATGTTTTTTAGCATTTCAGGCTAGTTTGTTATTAATATACAATCATAAGACAATACTAAAGAGGAAGGAGACTTTTAATATTTCTTCACATAACAAATACTTAAGGAGGGGGGGCTAAGGATTTTGCTTAGTGGTAGAACACTTGCCTACGTGCACAGGGCCTTGAGTTTGACCCTTACCACTGTAAAATATAAATAAAAAATAAACAAACAAATACATAAGGAACATTAGTCACATGTCTAGGCACTATGGGACACATCAAGATTAATGTATGGCATTTGCTTTCAACAGACTATTCTTACATAATATAAAAATCAGAAAACTACAAATACAAGGATATATTATAATGAATAAAGTATGCAAAATGAAAAAGACATTAAAAAAACTATTGGGGATGACAATTAGAAAACAGTCTATAAGAAAGACAAAAATCTAAAACTAAAACCATCTCAATCATTAGGAAAGTGGGGGCTGACTTCTTTTGTTTCCAATTTTCTTTAATCCTTTAAATCGAATAAATTAATATTGAAAAAAACTCCAGTTATACATACTTTGGCTTCAGTTACAATATTTAATATTAACAGTAATTAGCATTAATAATTAACCTAACATTGCCATTTAAATAAACCTCCTGAAATAATTTTTTTCAAACATGTAAGAACAAATAGTTAAAAAAAAAATTAGACTCTATTCAGAAGCAGTACAATTCTCTAGAATCAGAAAGCCTAGGTTCAAATCTTGGTCCCCCCATTTACTAGCTAAGAGACCTTGGGTCTCTTAATTCTCTTACTTATCCTCATAAAGTCTTCATTTCTGATATATCGAATGAAGGATGCCTGGGGATTAAATGAAACAGATACTTATATTCAAATTTTTTCCCTTCTTTCAGTTCTAGGTCACTGCTGTCATTTCAGATCCTTACTATAGCATTTAAAGCCATCCCTTATCTGTCCTAAATATCTTCCTGGTCTTTAATTAGCTTTGATTCTCGGTCCTCTTTCTAATTCCACTTCTTATTATACTGAAGACCATAACAGATATGACAGTAATATTATCAATGTATATTAACCCTACTCACCCAATAGTCATAATTTTTTACTGTGATTTCCATTACTTTTATGTTACATTTTTTTCTTATAATTTCAGCATTTCATAACATCAGAGATAGCCTAACCAGAGCAGATACTTAGAAAGCCAGGCTCAAAATAAACCTTCTACTAGCTTAATAAGATAGTTAAATTTCCACTTTTAGTGAATTTAGCACCATCATAGAATATATAGTCAATATACAATGTCATTTTATGTATTTATATATATATATTTTTCAAATTGGAAAGTGTGGGCTGGGGATGTGGCTCAAGCGGTAGCGCACTCGCCTGGCATGTGTGTGGCGCTGGGTTCGATCCTCAGCACCACATACCAACAAAAACGTTGTGTCCGCCGAAAACTAAAAAATAAATATTAAAATTCTCTCTCTCTCTCTCTCTCTAAAAAAAAAAAAAATTGGAAAGTGAAGTTCAAAAACAATTTCAGTAAAACATGTGATAATGAATCCCATCATTATGTACAACCACAATGCACCAATAAAAAAATATAGAAAAAAAGAATAAGTAAATAAAATTTAAAAAATTTCATCCCAAAACATACATTATTTAGGAACAAATTAAACAAAAGATGTAAGATCTCTACACTAAAAAAGATATCTTTCCTAAATAAATAAAAAATCATGTGCTATACAGACATCAGAAGATTTTAATATGACAAATGTTTCTAAACTAATTTATAGATGTAATTCAATCTTTTTTTTTTTTTTAAAGAGAGAGTGAGAGAAGAGAGAGAGAGAGAGAGAGAATTTTTTTAATATTTATTTTTTAGTTCTCGGCGGACACAACATCTTTGTTGGTATGTGGTGCTGAGGATCAAACCCGGGCCGCACGCATGCCAGGCGAGCGCGCTACCGCTTGAGCCACATCCCCAGCCCGTAATTCAATCTTTATCAAAATCAAAGCAGACATTTTTATAGAAAGTAACAGGTTAATTCTAACATTTATGAGGTAGGGCTAGGGTTGTGGCTCAGCAGTAGATACTTCACACATCTCAACTTTACATATCTTATCTCTAACCCCCACTCAACATTGAAAAGTAGATGTTACCATTCTTATTAGATACATGAGGAGAAATTCTAAGAGGTCATGTAAATTAGCCTTATGTCACATAACTAACTGTTTACATCCAAAGCCCAGGATCTTTTTACCGCAACAAAAGGCCCATAAATAAATTTACCTTAAGTCCTGTATGGTTTCCAAGTTCCTATTTACAATATCAGCTATTTTTCCCATTAGTGGACTCAAATACAAACGCTGATCTGCTAGGCAAGTGGAAAATGTGGATAGTACTTTAATATCAAACCTACTAAAGGAAATACACAAAGGAGATCATTAGTATTAACTTTTAATTAAAACAATGTAGTCATAAAATAAAAAAGCAACAAAAATACTAATATATTATTAAGTGAATTTTTCTAAAATACTGATTACTTATTATAAGAATAAAAAATCATACAGCTAAAAGTGTGATGTTCTAGAAAGATTTAAAAAGAACAATCACTCAAAATTATTTAAATAACCTTTTTTTTTTTTTTTTTGAGATGACAGTTTTCTTTTCTATTTTTTGGTACTGGGGATTAAACCCAGTGGCGCTTAACCACTAAACCACATTTCCAGCCATTTGTTGTATTCAATTTAGAGACGGGCCCTCGTTGAATTGCTTATGGCCTCACTAAATTGCCGAGTCTGGCTTTGAACTTGAGATCCTCCTGCCTCAGCCTCCTGAGCTGCTGGAAATATAGCATGCACAACTACACCTGGATGAGTTGACAATTTTAACTCAAGTTTGCCTATTAACAAATAAATACTAATACAACAGTTCTGTTTAAAAACTTCATATTTTGACTATAGGAAAAATGACCCAAATTCTTCATCAAATAAATGATATGACAAAAGCAAAGAAGAATGTCATAAATTTCTATTTTTGTTTTTATTTTTGCAGTGCTGGGGCCTTGTGAATGCATGGCAAATGTTTTACATCCTCAGCCCCTAGATTTAAATATTTTGAATTTACTAAAAGATAACAAAAGAAAATTCACAGCAGCACAATATGCAACAGCAAAAACTACAAACAATCTAAACGTTCAAGAAGAAAGCACAATGGGTAAATCACACATGCCCACAGAATACTACATAATAGCAATAAATAGATTGCTGAACCATACAACATCATAGATGAATCCTTAAAACATACTGAGCCAATTAAATAAAAGGGTACATACCACAGAATTCCATTTCTATAAAAACAAAACTGATGTTTGATGTTAGAAGTCAAAATCCTTTTGGGGTAGGATGGTGATACTAAAAGAACATAAAGGGAACTTCTGGGGAACTGTTGATGTTTCTTGATCTTTATGTATATATATCTATCTCTTTACAGAAGAGATAGATATATATACATTAATCATGCTGTATGTTTACCATTTGTGTAATTTTGTACAATATTCTCCAATAAAAGCTTTATTTGGAAAAAGAGAAAAACTTAACACAGTGTGAACCTTATTTAGAGAGTCACAAGTGGCCAAAAGACGGATCTTTATAGGCCAATCAAGGAAATTTGAACACAGATCAGGTATTAATACCTGAAAAGGAATATTTTTAAAATATTTTTTTAAATATTTTGGGTATGTATTTTTAGAGCTTATTTTTCTTTTTTGTTAATTTGTTTTTAGTTGTAAATGGACACAGTATCTTTATTTTATTTATTTTTATGTGGTGCTAAGGATCGAATCCAGTGTCTCACATGTTCTAAGCAAGTGCTCTACCACTGAGCTACAACCACAGCGCTAGAGTCTATATTTCTAAGAGACATATATTTATAGATGAAATAACATTACTAGTGAAAACATACTGAAAGCTGAGTGCAGTAGCACATACCAATTCCAGCAATTTGGGAGGCTGAGGCAGGAGAACTGGAAGTTTGAGGACAGCCTTAGCAATTCAGCAAGATTCTATCTCAAAATTGAAAAAAAAAAACAGAATTTAAGGGCTAGGGATATAGTTCAGTGGTACAGCACCCCTGGGTTCAATCCCCAGCATCCCAAAAACAAAACAAAAGGTATACTGAAGGGTGGGGAGAGAGCAGGAGGTGATACAGATAAGATAATTTCTGAAGCTAAATAATGAGTACATGAGAGTTCATTATAATAGCCTCCAGTTTTGTAAATGTTTAAGTCATTCAAAAAACTTTACACCAAAAATTCAAATAACTCAATAAATAGGAAAATGAATTAAACAGACACTTCTCAAAAGAAGAAATGTAAATGGCTATCAAATATATGAAGAAATGTTTAACATCAATAGCATTTTGGGAAATGCAAATCAAAACTACACTGAGATTTTATCTCACACCAGTAAGAATGACAGTCATCAAGAATACAGATAATAATAAGTGCTGGAGAGGATACAAACAAAAGGAATACAATTACACTGTTGGTGGGACTGTAAATTAGTACAACCACGGTAGAAATCAGTATGGAGGGTCCTCAAAAGAACAGGCATGGAACCACCATATGACCAAACTATACCATGCCTCAGTATTTATCTTGAATAATTCAAGTCATCTTAATATAGTGATATATACATGTACACCCATGTTTATAGCAACACAATTATCAATAAGCAAAACTATGCAACTATCCTAGGTATCCATCAGTGGATGAATAGATAAAGAAAATGTGGTATATATACACAATGGAATTTTATTCAGTCATAAATAAAAATGAAATCATATAATTTGCAGGAAAATGGATAGAAATAAAGACCATCATATTAAGCAAAATAAGTCAAATTCAGAAGGTCAAGAGTCATCTGGTTTCTTTCATATGCAATAGTTAAGAGAAGCAAAAGGGAAAAAAAGTAAAGGTGGATCACCTAAAATTCAAAGGGAGATTAATAGAGGAAAGGGACTAAAGTATGGGAGAAGGAAGGTGCTAAGGAATGATATTGGCCAAATTATACTGTTATATTGTGTGCATGTACAAATATGTAACAGCAAAACCCATCATTATGTACAACTAGAATGCAACAATTTTAAAAAAAGGAATAAATAAATCATCCATAATAGTTTTTATTTTTTCCACTTCTGGCTTTAAATATGTTAAGTGTCCTTGCCATGATCTATCATATAGTGCTAAACCAGAATAATCTATCCCATTTGAATTATTACATATTGTTTTATAAAATACAAATCCATAGATATTTTAGCCAGATCACTGACTAATAGCTATTATTATAACAAAAAATTAATATGTGAAAAAGATGAAAAATTCAGAAATTATATTTATTCTATAACTCTATTAGAAGTTCTATAGACATAAATTAGGGCTTTAAATTTTTATAACTTGACATTATAAAAATACTTAGCAAAGCACTGTGGCACATGCCTATAGTCTAGTTAATGGAAGGCTGAGGCAATAGACTCATTTACCCAGGAGTCTAAGGTCAACCTAGGCAATGTAGCAAGACCTCATCTCAATATACATACACACACACACACATACACACACACACACACACACACCATACAAACAGAAACATGATAAAAACAGAAAGAAAGAACCACCATATAAAACAAAGCATTATCTTCTGAGTTATTTTGAAGTGAAAATACATTAAAATGTAAAGTCTGATTCACTGGGAAGTATAATGATACATTTGTAACTTAATTATAAAACCAAAAAATCTATTTTACAATTGATTTCAAGCTATATAATTCATATAACACCTACGGCTGTTTTAAAGAGGAATAAAAAGGCTTTGACCTAGCACCAACAATGACCAAATTTAACCCAAAACAAATAATAAGTATACATTCCTTATTGTTTGCAAAAAGAATTAAGATTATTCTGTTTACCTTAGATAAAAGATAGTTACAGTAGAAAGCAAGCAAGAATGGAGAAATGGAATGGGTAAGATGACAACTGGGTTTAAATAATGAAGTTAACTAAAACTACAACTTCATAGATGGATGCAGAATTTCTAAATCAAGAGAACCCTTCTGAACCTCTTTAATCCATCCCGTATAATAAAGACCTAAAGCATTTGGCAATATAAATAACAACTGTAAAAATTTAAGCTTTGAGAAGCAATATACCAAAAAACAAAAATATGAGAATGCTCACTCCTCTCTGTCAAAAAATAGTCTATTTCTCCTTTATCTTGGTCAAATTTGTACCTTTCTATTTGGTTTAGAGGTAGGGCTGCACTGCAGTTTTTAAAACCTTCTTGTCTGGGACTGGGATTGTAGCTCAGTGGTAGAGCACTCGCACATGCGAGGCCCTGGGTTTGATCCTCAGCACCACATTAAAAAAAATAAATAAAGGTATTGTGTCCAAATACATCTAAAAAATAAATATTTAAAAAAAAAAAACCTCATGTCTGTTCCCACATTTTTTCTCTTTCCTCACTGTCATATGTCCTATTTTGCTAACAATGGCCTTTAGCCATCCAAAATTCCTAGGTTAAAAAATTCAAAGTTTTCAGAAATAGCCGAAGCTTTCCTAATATGAGATCTGTTATCATCTCAGTTCTTTTATACATGGAGAACTTTCCACATATTCTTACAGAACAGACATCTCAACAAGAATATCCTGAACATATCTCTTGTTTTTCTAGATTATATCAATTATGGCAAAATTATAAAAATACACCCATGTATACTATAGAAAATAGGTCTCAATCAATATTGTCCAGAGCAATGGACTTATTTTCTTCAAAAAGCTTCTAAGTTACCTGTAAGTTCTAGTCACTGCTGTCTGTACATAAAAATGGAGTGAAAGGCTGGGCATGGTGGCATGCCTATAATTTAAGCAACTCAGAAGGCTGAGGCAGGAAGATCACAAGTGTGAGGCCAACCTGAGCAACTAAAAGAGACCCTCAGCAACTTAGTGAGACCCTGTCTCAAAATAAAAAATATAAAGAATTGGAGATGTAGCTCAGTGGTAAAGTTCCCCTACGTTTAAGTTCCAGAACAATAACAATGAAAAAAATGAAGTGAAAGACAAGTAACTAAACAGGCTACATGGCCTTCCACTCAATAAACTGATCTTCTTTATTCTCCTTTTATAGTTCCTATACTTCTAGGTTCTAATTGACAAATCAAAAAAATCTTTTCTTTCTGAAGCAGAACTCTGGTAGATAAGAGTCAAAGCAGCTAGTCCAGTATGTAGCTATGACTCTACCCTATTTATACTTTGACTAATTATATATATGTGGAAAAGCACACTCACTATTCTGGGCTATTAGTTAAAAAGGGAACATCTGAAATACTTTCTTGCTCTATTAAATAACAAAAACACATTACACAATCAAAAACCCTGAAACTAAATTGAGTTTAAATACATTAATTTCCATAAAAGCTTGACAGGCAGGTGGCAGCTCCCCATTTTTTTTCCTATGGGATTTCACTATGCTAACTCTGAAAAGGATAACCCTAACCTTAAAAGATGAACCCAGATACTTGCCTTTCCATCCTTTTCCACGCTTCTGTAACTAGTGCTTGAATTAATGGATCATGGGCCTTAACATCGAACCTCAATTAAAACAAGAGAAAATAATTTTACACACACACATATTTTTAAATCATTAAAAACACATGCGGTAAGAACTTCAGGTTACTTTGCTTTTACATAGGCAGTTCTTATTTCTAATCTACTCCCATTTCAGTGTTCTGATTTCTTGGTTCAGTCTAATAAATAAGCATCTTTACTTTATTTCATGACCTCATCCTCTTTATCCACTCATTTCAAAATCTTCCACTGAACAATGTTCAATGCTTTGTTTTACACCAAAAGAACATATAAAATGTATTACTTTGTTCTGATTATAAAAATACCTCATAGGAGAAAATATGTAAAGACACAAAAATGCTAATAGTCACCAATCACCTTGATCTTTAAAATTGTGTTCTCTTCATATATATCAGAAAAAAAGAATATTGTAACCTGAAAATAAAATAATTCTTTTTTTTAATCTAATATCAATACCCAGTATAAGCAAAGGCCCCTTTCCTATTAATTCTAATTTTCAAAATAAAAATAAAACAAATAAATAAAAATGGCATGCTGGGCGTAGTGGCACATGCCTATAATTCCAGTGGTCCAGGAGGCTGAGGCACAAGCATCATGAGTTCAAAGCCAGCCTCAGCAACTTAGTGAGGCCCTAGGCAACTCAGTGAAAAAAAAAAAAAAAAAAAAAAAAAAAGCCTGAGGATGTGGCTCAGTAGTTAAGTGCCCAAGTTCAAACCCAGGTAACAAAAATAACAACAAAAACTGCAATACCTGTGTAATGCTGAATCTATAGCTACCTAACCAGGAAAGGGCAGATTATCATAAAAGGACTAATGTTTAATTTTGGTGTTTTTACCCCTTGTCCCTGGGTTCCTTTATTCAGGAATCCAGTTCTGAAGACTGAATTTCCTTACAATGTAAAATGTATCTTTCTCTCCCACTTTCTCAGAGCCCCACCCACTCACCCTCCCACCCCACCCTTATCCCCTGAACTCCACAGTAGTGGGAATTTAACCCAGGGACACTCTATCACTGAGCTACATCCCCAGTCCACCCACCCCTCTTATTTTCAATTTTTTGAGAGAAGGTATTGATAAATTGCTGAGGCTGACCTTGAACTTATTATCCTCCTGCCTAAGTCACTGGAATTACAAGCATGTGCCACCATGCCTAGCTAAAATTTCTTTTCTTGAAATTTAACTTTGCCAGACATGGTGGCACATACCATCAGCAACTAGGGAGGCAGAGACAGGAGGACCAAAAGTTTCCAGATCAGACTGGACAACTTAGCAAGACTGTGTCTCAAATAAATAAATAAATACGGCTGGAGATGTAGCTATATTTCCTTTGACATCAAGGAAGCCTTTTTTGCATGTAATAAGCCAGTCAAAGAATATAATTTGTGAAACATTGTTATCAAATATAAATGAGTCCAGAAAATAATTCTATTTTCTTTCTTTCTTCCTTTTCTTTTCTTTTTTCTTTTTTTAAGAACTTCAACTGGAAAACAACTTATTGTACCAATATCCCTTAAAAAATATATCTGACATCAGTTTAATTACAGGCTAAGAGATTGCAAATAGATCAATAAAAACACAATTTGTTAATTGCTGATTAGGTATTAATCTGAAATCTAATAATTCACCTATCCTCATTATCTTTAGCCAATCACATTGCCACAAAATTCCACAATAATCCAAAGTTAATCATCTCTACTGTCATGATTGAATATATTCTACTTTTTAAAACTGCAATACTACTAATAGTGTTAAATATCCTCCAAACATCTTTAAAATATAACATTATCAGGAAAACTACCCTCTTGGAGAAATTAAACACATTTTCATCTTTAAAAGATTTTTTAAAAATTAAAATATAAATAACGATTTCCATAAAAGTAACTTACTGTTGTGTGATGTATAACACATTCACCAGAGTATCATCATTCATTAATTTGATTTTATTTGTAGTCAAATTATGCAGAGTAAAAAATTGGGGATGATCTCCTACATATTCAACATTTTTTAACAAGCTGGTCTTCTGCTTTTGAAGTTGCCAAAGATTATTAAATGCACATTCAACTTGCTTTTCTGAAAGTGTCTCTTTGTTTCTTTCTATAAGATCAAATATTTGCTCTTGATCTGTACACTTATTCATCTGAATAATTAAGGGTTCACAACTGAAGGATCGAAAATGAAACTCTCTCCAGGAGAATGCACAAAGAGTTCTCAGACGAAACATATTTATAAAGGATGAGTCTAGAAAAAAGATATCTTTCCATTTACATCACAAATTCTCTTCAGTAAAGAAAGCCATCTGCAACTAATACTCAAGCTAAATGTGCTGTTATAAAAAATAACTGGCTTGCTTTCATGTATTCTGTTTCCATTATGAGGACTCTAAATCCATTCCAATATGCAGCTTCTGTAAAAGAATTGGTTAGCATGATTAGTCATATCTTATTAATACTGAGTTAATTCCAAAATTCAAAATAATAAATTTTTTTCTGCATTAACTAGAGACTTTGTTCTTAGTCTAAATCAGATAGTAGGATTTGTTCCAAATCTAAATAGCTAGCCAGGAAAAAGAGCTTCTTTCTGTATTCCTTTAAAAAATGTTTAAGTCTGATATTGCCTAAAGTTTTCAAATTTGACCACAAAAGCAGAGGGGGGAAAAAACTCAAAACTGCTTTTTTTTTTTCCTCTTGTGGTGGGGATCAAACCCAGGCCCTTGTACATGTTAGTTACATGCTCTACCACTGAGCTACAACCCTAGTACTTTTAAATTTTACTTTGAGACCGTCTGGCTAAATTGCCCAGGCTAGGCTGGAACTTCAGATCTTTCTGCTTCAGCCTCCTCAATAGCTGTCATTACAGGAATGCAATCCCACACCTTGCCTTCAAGGTAATTTCATGCTCCTTTCTTCTCATTCCCTAAAAGAACTCAAACAATTTGATCATTATTGTTCTTAGTTAGGTTTTAACCAATAAATGAGATGTTCACAGCACTAATGAGGAACTATTTAAAAGTCAAAATTGTTTCAAGACCTGTAGGATCAGTATAATAACCAAAGATTTTTCTGAAAAGAAAATTTGTCTAACAAATATATCATAAATTTAGTAATGTTTATATGTTATATTTATTCTTGAGAAGGAATAGTTAGAAAAGCTGGGACTTTTATCATCTAATACACATGCAACAGTTACAAAGAACTTTCAAAATAATTCCTAATTAATTTCACTCAATTGACTATCAGTGAAGAGGAAGGGGATCAAGGGAAAGTACAACAACAAATATGCCACAAAGAAATCCACCATTCTGTACAATTAACATGCACTTAAAAAAAAAAAAAAAAAGATTGGGGGAGGGATAATCCTATCACCAAAAGTCTTGCCATCTTTGTTCTGTCATAAATGTCTATGAAAATGTAACAGGAGCCTGATGTGGTGGCAAATGCCTGTAATCCCAGCAGCTTCAGAGGTTGAGGCAAAAGGATGAAACTTCAAGGCCAGTCTTGGCAATTCAGTGAGATCCTGTCTCAAAATAAAAAACAAAAAGGGCTGGGAAAGGGCTAGGGCTGTAGCTCAGTGGAGAGCACTTGCCTAGTATGTGTGAAGCACTGGGTTTTATCCTCAGCACCACATTAAAAAAAAAAGAAAGAAAGAAAGAAAGAAATTAAAGGTATGCTGTCCATCTACAACTATAAAATTAAAAAAAAAAAAAAGAAGCTGGGATGTAGATCAGGGTAGGGTACCCCTGGGTTCAATCCCCAGTATGGTGAAATTTAACTAATTAATAAGCATGAGTTCTACTGTTACTTTAGTCTCATTGGCCACTTAAGGCAAGGTTTCTAGAACTGAACTGAATTTTTAAAAATTCTCTCAACCTTCCAGGAAGATATTATCAGTTCCATTTACACATAAAGTAAACCTAAAAAAGTCTTAAACCAGTCAAACATGGTAAAGAATACCCATTATCCCAGCTAAGACAGGAGGATGGCAAGTTTGAGGACAGCTTTGGCAATTCAGCAAGGCACTGTCTCAAAATTTTAAAAGGCTGGGGATGTAGCCCAGTGGTAGAACACTTGTTTAGCACACTGGACACCCCTGGTTCAATCCCCAGGACTGAAATAAAGAGAAGGGGTGGGGAGGAAGAGAGATTGTAAACAAAACAAATCACTTTAGTACTAGTGCAGATGGGATTACATTTGAGCCTCATTACATGAACAAACGTGCGTGACTAAAAGTATGCTTCAGACCCCTCTCTGGCTATGTCAAGCTGTCTGTTCCCAAGAAAAAACGATGCCACAGTACAGCCTATTTTTGATTTTGTGTTCAGTAAAACATGCCAAGGGCCACCTCCAAAAAAAGAAGAAAAAAATTTTTTTTGCTCAAAGCAAAGGTATCCTCGAAATACTAACTTAACCACCCATAACCGAAAAGTGGAGGCTATTCAGAATTTAAAAGTCCCGCGTCCCCATCTCTACCCCAGCTAAGTGACCTTGGAGAAGTCGCTTAATTAAAGTAGGGGCCTTGGGACTGTGAGAGACAGGTATTTAACAGGCACAGTGCAGGGTGCACAGGGTCAAGATATCCTCTGTGCGGGCATGCAGAGAGAACTGAACAAGAGCGAACGCGGTCTCCATCGTCCAGGTTAGAAATGGGTTCACCGGGTCCCAATCCTCCGCACTTTGGAGAGCCCAACACTCGCAAGGAGGCCGCCCCAGATTCTCAGACGAACCCTACGCAAAAACGTGCTGGGTGGGAAAAGAAATACCGACGCTGCTACCCGGCCCTGACCTGCCGGCAAATTCTTCCCTCAACGCCCGCCAACTTTTCTACAGGATCCTGGCGGGTTACGTAGCTTAGAAGTCTGGGTTGTCCGTGGTCCCCAGCAAAAAACACAACAGGCTCAGTTCTCCAGCTCACCCCTCTTGTCCCAGAGTTTTTAGCCTTTCCTTGAGAAATACTGTCTTCCCCCGGTACGGTCGGTCCCCAAGCCGGAGAAAAATTCCGGGTAGACTGCGTGCACAGCGGAAGACACGCACTACACATCCCAGAGGTCTGCGCGGCGCGGCTGGTGGAATGCACGTCTCCGGCTCCTCTGGGGGAATTCTGGGCTTTGTAGTTCTGTATTGGGAGAGGCTCGGGGCTGCGCGTCAGCGACTACTGAAGAAGGTAATGAAACAAACGCTTACTTAGGTCAGTGTCTCTGTTATTGAGGTTTATTTCCCCGAGTACTTGGAACATGGATATTTTTGTAATGTACACTAACAATTGTACAATTTCATTTTAAAAAATGAAACGAGAAAATATAAGCACAGAAAATTCCTATACAGATTTTTCTTATAATTTTTCAGGGTACTATATATGAAATAACTGTGAAGCTGCTATAGAAGTATCAAATATCCTACTCTCGATTTCTGGACTTACGTGTTTCTGTATCTATGTCATGGACAGGTACTAATTTTCAGGCGATGCTTTTCTTAACAGCTTTCTTAGATATGTATTTTGCACACCATACGATTCACCCATTGAAAGTGTACAATTCAATGGCTTTTAGTATATTCACAGAGTGGTGGAACCATCACTATAATCAATTTTAGAACATTTCTTAACTCGAGAAAGAAACTCAGATTGGCAGATTCCCCACATCTTCCCACCCTAATTCACCCCCAAATATCCTAGACAATGGACTAGTTTCAGACCACATTTTGAGTAGCTCTGATTTAGGTTGTTTGAAGTTACATCAACTGATAATAGAGTTGAGATTAAGATGACTTGAATACACACAATAAAGGGATATTAGAACAAATATGAAAAAAAATTTTTTTTGAACAACATCACGAATATTAAAACCCTCCATTCATAGTCCATAAGGGGTTCTGGTAGTGTAGCTCAGTGGTAAAGAACTTGCCTGGCATGCTAGAGGACCAAGTTCAATCTTCAGTATCAAAGGGGGAAAAAAATAAAACAATTACCAAAAAAGAAAACTAATACCAAATTGTACCATTTATAAGGACTCTATAGCTGTCAAATTCATAGGAACAATAAGTGGAATGGTGGTTGTCAGGGCCTAAGGAAGGGGAATAATGAGTTATTTAATGAGTTGCAATTTTTTAACATGAAAAGAGGTCTGGACATTTATTGCATAACAATGTGAATGTACTAGACTCTATTGAATGGTACCCTTAAAAAGGGCTAAGTTGATAAATTTTGTTATACACATTTTATTACAGTATTATGTATGTATGTATGTATGTATGTATGTATGTATGTATTGCAGTGTTAGGGCTTCTGCATGCTAGGTAAGCTATCTACACTGAACTTTACATTCCATCATCATCGCCATCCTTCCTCTCTTCTTTTTTTTGGGGAGGGGAGCATTTAGTGGGGATTGAACTCAGGGACACTTAACCCCTGAGAAATATCCCCAGCCCTTTTTTATTTTTTATTTTAAGACAGGGTCTCACTAAGTTGCTTGAGGCCTCACTAAGTTGCTGAGGCTGACCTTGAACTTAACTCCTTCTGCCTCAGATTCCTGAGCCACAGAAATTTCACCGGTGCTCCACAGTGCCTGGCTCCTTCTTCTTCTAAGACTAACATAGTTTTACTATGTTGTCCAGGCTGGCTTCAAATGATCCTCCCACTTTAGCCTCCTGAGTAGCTGGGACTGAGCTAGGATAGAAAAAAAAATTAAATAGTTAGAAGGAGAAAAAAGGAAGAAAAAGACGACTACAACTTGAATCTGAAAGTCTTGTGCTAAAGTTTCACACATACTTTCGCTCTCCAAGCCAGTATTCCTCTCCGTCCTGTCACTCCCAACTTTCTGGGATATTTACAGATCTTCACTCACAATTTTATAGTTGCTGAAAACCCACACACTTATGAAAATTTCCCTGTGCAATGGACTTTGAGAATAAATTAAGCAAAAGGAGATAACAATATTTTAAGAAATGTATACTACAGGGTGCATTTCAAACGTTATCTATTGATCAGATAATGGAGACATCAAGAACAGCCAGACCACCATGAACCATTTTGTGAACACCAGATTGAAATCATCCCACATACCTTCTCATGCCTACCTTTAAGAAAGTCTTCTTGAAAAGAAGATCTAAGACCTCAAAAGTACTGATTTTCACTCTCAAAAGAGCCTACCTTAGCCAGGTACAGCAGCACACGCCTGTAATCCCAGTGGCTCAGGAGGCTGAGGCAGGAGGATCACAAATTCAAAATCAGCCTCAGCAACTTAGTGAGTCCCTAAGCAATTTAATGAGACCCTGTCTAAAAATAAAAAATAAAAAAAAGGGCTGGGGTTGTAGTTCAGCAGTAGAGCATTTGCCTAGCATGTATGAGGCATTGAGTTTGACTCTCAGTACCACACAGAAATAAAATAAAATAAAATAAAGGTATTGTGTCCATTTACAACTAAAAATATATTTTAAAAGCCTACAAGGTTCACATAGAAGTCTCCTTTGCCCCTAGAGATTCTTCCTTAAACCCCTTTATAGTGACTCCACTGTTTTCCAATTGAAAAAAAAAAAAAAGGCAAGGAAGTCAATAAAAGAGGACCAACCTCTCTATAGTTAGGAAACTGAAAAATAAGATGATACTGTTCTTTTACCTATTAAATTGGCAAAAAATAAATGTTTTAAAATAAGCTCAGTGGGAGGATAACAGCCATTCTCATACAACCTTGAAATGCATCAACCTTTCATAATTCTAATGGGGTAGTACACCAATTGTTATGGTTTAGATGTGAGGTGTCTCCCAAAAGCACATGTGTGAGATAATACAAGAAGGTTTAGAGGATAAATTATTGGGTTATGAGAGCTTTAACCCAATCAGTGAATTAATCACCTGATAGGATTTATTGAGTGGGAATTGAAAGCAGGTGGTATGGCTGGACGAGGTGGGGGATTGGGGGCTTAGCATTATGGTAAATATTTGTATCTGGCAAGTGGAGATCTCTCTCTGCTTTCTGATCTTCAAGCCAGCACCTTCCCTCCACCATACTCTTCCACCATGTTGTTCTGCCTCACCTTGAACCCCAAGGAATGGAGCCTGATGTCTGTTAATTGAGACCTAAGTAATCATAAGCCCCCAAATAAACTTTTCTTCCTCTACAGTTGTTCTGATTTGGTCCTTTAATCACAGCAGCGATAAAGCTGACTAAAACACCAATAATCTTACTCTGGCTATTATACCTGATATTTAAATATTAATATTTAAAATATCAATCAATAAATAAGGATCTATGCTGTATGCAGATAAATACTTCTTGCAGTATCTTTGTATTAACCAAAACTTGAAACAACTAAAACATTCAATGGATATTTGGCAAATGGATGGATAAGATATGGAATATATATACTATGAAATTGAATATAGTTATTGAAAGAGATGTCCATAATGCAAAACCCAGCATATTTCAGAGAGATAAGTGACCTCATTTTTTATGTCTAAGGAATGAAGTAGAGAGGGATATTAAATAAAAGATTTTAGCTAGGAATGTATTTCATTGGTAGAGCACTTGCCTAACATGTTCAGGGCTCTTAAATAAATAAATAAATAAATGTATTTAATGGTAGTACATACAGGAATTGACACCTAACTGGGATTGGAAGGGATTAGGCAAAATTATTACATTTTAATCCTTTTTAGAATGTTCAAATTTTTTACAATAAGTAAGGTGTAGGGGTGCACACTTTTAGTTCCAACTACTCAGAAGACTGAGGTAGGAGGATTGCTTGAGCCCAGCAATTTGAGCCCAACCTGGGCAACATAGTAAGAGCCCATATCAAAACAACAACAACAACAAAAATTTACAACAGCTCATGTTATTATAAAATATATGTGAAAACAAACATGCTTTTTTTAAAGTTAAATTATTAATGATATACAACAAAGAAGAAGTTTGTGTGTTGATCATCTATGAGTAGAAACAAAAAAGGTTCATTATTCTAAATTAAAGGTAAAGTAGAGGTTAACTGTAGTAGCCCAGCCCATCTACACCCCTTCTTTTGGTATCAGACACCATTCCTCACTTTAAAATGACCCATTCTAGGTCTAATCTAGCACTTCAGGCTCAGCCTATTAGATGGGTAGTGCTGTCTGCCATGATGAATAAAGCCAAATATTAGTGTTTAACTTGCAGAATTTGATACCTCAGTCATACTGCATTCCAATGCAGATATCCCTGTTTATCCCTGGTAACTGAAAACTTTTTCTCCACATTGAAGTTCTGGTTTGAATATGATTTGTTTCCTCCAGAACTGAGTCTACTATCCACTGTAAGATATTTTAAGATCTTAAGAGTGGAAACTTATTCTGATTTTTGTGATCAGACATGGGACCTTTTGGAGGTAATTAGGATAGATAAAGTCATCAGAGTGGAGTCCTCATGATTGCAATCTGGTGGCATGGTGGCATTGTATATTCCCTCCTTCCCCCCTCCTCCTCTTCCTCCTCCTTCCCTTTCTCCTCCTTGTTCTTGTTTGTTTTTTTTTTTATATACTGGGGACTGAATCCAGGGCCTCTGAATACTAGACAAGTGCTCTACCAGTGAACTACACCCCCAGCCCTGAATATTAGTGGCATTACAAGAAGAGAGAGACCGAGTGCCCAGAAGATACACATGCATGCTCCACTTCTCTCACCATATGATGCCCTGCACCACCTCAGGACTTTGCCAGCAAGAAGGCCATTACCAAATGTGGCCCCCCTTAACCTTGGACTTCCAGAAGCATAAGCCAAAATAACCCCTTTTCTTTCAAATCTTCCCAGTGGTATTATGTTACTAGCAACATTAAAAAATCTAAAACACAGGCTTCTTCCATAATTCCTCAGGGCCTTAAAACCCACTGGATCAAACTGACAGAAATAAACATAAAGGACGTGGAGAAGCATAGAACTTCATAAACATTTGACCTGGATGTAATATTTACACTTACCTTCCACTGGAAAGAAACATTCCTATATCCTTGCCTAGATTCCAGGAGAGAGCCAAGAAACCTACTTCTTAGACTGTCCTGGTGGCACACACCTTCAATCTCAATGACTCAGGAGGCAGAGGAAGGAGAATCACACGTTTAAAGTCAGCCTTTGCGACATAGAACCTGTCTCTAGATAAAATTTTTTTAAAAATTTTAATTGTAGATGAACACCATAGAATACATTTAATTATTTATTTTAATATGGTGCTGAGGATCAAACCCAGTGCCTCACGTGCTTGGCAAGCAGTCTACCACTGAGCTACACCCCCTACCCTAGATAAAATTTTAAAAGAGCTGGGGACGTAGCTTAGTGTTAGAGTACCACTGATTTCAATTCCCAGTACCAAAAAACAAAACAAAACCCAGTTCTTAGAAGGACAGACATTTCCAGTGACAACCCTTAAAATATAAAAACACAAATTTGGGGGTTACCACTACTGTGCTAACCAAAGATTTTTCTGGTCTTTTATTATTTATTTTCCTGAGGGTACCAAACCCAAGGTTTTGCCCAAGGTAGGCAAGTGCTTATGTGATTTACCACTGTGCTATATCCCTAGTCCTTTTCTGGCATTTTAAATTTGGAGGTGGCAGAGGCTTAGATTTTCTATTTTCTTCTTTCTTCTTTTTTAGTGCTGGAGATTGAACCACTACATTCTTTTTTTTATTGGTTGTTCAAATACAAAGCTCTTGACATATCATATTTCATACATTAGATTCAAGTGGGTTATGAACTCCCATTTTTACCCCAAATACAGATTGCAGAATCACATCAGTTACACATCCACATTTTTACATAATGCCATATTAGTAACTGTTGTATTCTGCTACCTTTCCTATCCTCTACTATCCCCTATCCCCTCCCCTCCCATCTTCTCTCTCT